GTTCCGTGTTCCCCCTGGTCCGCAGAACCTGTCGAGTCCGCCTCTCCAGATGATTCCCTATACATGTCATAGTGTACGATGGTGGTATTGCAGCTTGTTCGAGTAAGAAGCGATACAGAGCTTCACCTATCCGAAATGAAGACATCTCAAACCTCAGCAAATTTTGACCCCATAGTGGGGTGCGGGATCAAAACATACCGTCCTCATTGAGATGCGCGTCATGCGAGATAAGATGCAAATCGCCTCTGACTCGGGCTTCCGGGTTGTGAGTCGAGAAAGGTGGCGGTGCGTCCGAAGAACCAGGTGCTTCTGGGGATTCTTGGTTGTCGGCGTGCGTATCGACCTTGGTAGGCGGCTTCTTCAGGCCTTCGTCGTTAGACGCCGCTTCCTTGATGCTGTCCTTCGCATCCCAGTTGGTTGGTTCGGGCGGGACGTATTTAGAAGAGTGGTAGACTTCTGCATGGCCCATGTTCAAATGATGTTCAAGCCGAGTAGTGGGAGAGGACGGGTGCCAAGGGATATATATCGTGCCAAGCCGATCCAACTTGGGTTTCGCCGCGGATCGGCATTTTCACGCACCCGCAAAAGTGGCATCCAATGCCAAAATTTGGCTGACGTTCAGATGGATCGAAGAGTGACCCGTTGTGGCCGTGGACGCGGAGTCAGTGCCATGCATTTCCCGTGTCCGAAGCGTCGAGTGGCGGTGCAGCGGATATACACGGCACTGTCGCGCTCCGCTTGGCATCCCGTGGCATATAAACCTTTTTGTTTTCGCGATACCACCCCCACACTCCTCACGCACCATACCCTATGGGCCACACTGAAGAGGTCTACCACTCCTCCAAATACGTTCCACCAGAGTCAACCAACTGGGATTCAAAAGACGATATTAAAGAATCGTCCAACGACAATGACAAAGGTGCTGACAATGCTGCATCTCCCAACGAAAAGCGTGCCGCCGACAATGATCAGTCTTTGAATGTGCCTGGTACGTCTGAGCCGCCACCACCATTCTCGGTGCACAATTCGGAAGTCCGACTCCGAAGTGACATGCATCTGGTCTCTCATGATGCCCATCTCAATGCGGATGGTACGTTTTACGACCCCATTCTGTTATAAGCCAGACTTGGTTATTGAGCATCTGTGTTTTTCTTTCTTCAGGGGAAGCGTTATACCGTTTTCTACTCGAACAAGCAGAACATCCTCCAGTGTTCAACGTCTCGTGCAGGGGTACTCATCAGGAGACGCGGACGCGACAGGTACTACGGAAGAATGGAAACACAGAGTACTGGACGACGGAAACGTATCAAGTCACCATCACAGACTTTGACTTCATCATCGACCTCACCGGACTCATACTCCCTGAACCTTTCGGCGCGCCGATCTACCTCGTCGGAGACAGAACCGCCGCATACCGAGGGAAAACCGTAAAGGAGGTCGACGAAGGACCTCACAAGACCCCAGATGGGAAAGATCTCGAGATGAATCAGATCGGGTTGGGGAAGGAGCTCAGGCGGAGGGCCGAGGACGACGAAGAGGTCACAGCGCATGCGAGGAGGGAGCGTCTCAAAGACGTTGGATTACCACCTTGGGTCCACCTCTCTAGCGAACCTCTCGGAACACAAGCGGGAGTCGACGGAGAAGCGACACGACATCGATTCCAATACGGCGTTCATGGAGCCGTCGGGACCTTTGACGATAGCGGCGTTCAACCACCCTCGCAAAGTTTACGAGATTGGGTGGACGAGTACTGTGCCAGCCCGAAGATGCTCAAGGAATTCAACTTTCACAAGACCATACACGGCTGGAACCTCTTGGAGCTCACCGATCACATTAGCAGGGTGTGTAGGGCAAACTGGGCTCATCCTGGGAATACACCGAGCATCTCGTTCAACGTCTCATCGGACGTCGTCTCCGTCCGACCTCACAACTGGCTCTCTCGAACGCTCTCCCATGGGTTCTACAAGTTCCTGCTATGCGTCTATCTCATCTACCCACTCATCATATGGCCGTTCAAGCGATGGGGGAAAGGTGGTGGAGGAGAGTGGCGCGTCGCTGGAGCGGCTTACGCAATGGCCAAATGGGTTCATCTGGAGGATTCCATCCCGGGAGAGACTGTCGAAGCGTACAGCGCGCGTGTACCCCCACTCCCATCACTTCGTTTCCTTCGCACAACACCGAAAGGGATCTCACGTTTAGAAGGGATACGGGAAGTGGAATGGTTCACCCTTTGGGAGGAAACGATCGCCACGTATGTTCGACATCGACGCACGGATACGACCCCCGTGAATACGCCCATGGCACCTCTCGCATCGTCGGCTGTGACTGGATTCAGTGGTTGAATCCGTCGTGCAAAAAAAAAAGACAGTCAACCTTTTTCGATGGTATCTATTTTTGCTTTTAATTTTAATTTTAATTTTTCCTTTCGGGTGTGGATATCTTACGATTGGTGACTTCTCTGGCTTTGTCCACTGGCGACTCGCATTATTAATGCTATTCATATGCCAGAGCCAACTTTCCCCGACCGGCATCTCGGTACCTGTCTTGGATCATCTGAGCTTGCTGTGCGCTGTCTGCGCTGAGGGTATTAGACCGTGCCATTCATCAACCAGATCGATGCCGCAGTGACCGAGCTCCCAGTCTTCACGATCTGCCTCTACACGACCTACAACGCCACCGAGAATAATGTTCGCTTCGACGATTATGGTGTCACGGCCATTGGATTGAAATTCGACTGGTGTACGGTTCGCGAGAATCGCACCTTGCATGACCAGGGCATGAAGGCCGTTATAATTCAGAGATTATCAACACTAACTACGACAGTGCCGACCACCTGTTGTTCGGAGACTATCCTCGACATCTATGCCATCGAACAGTCCAGGGGCATCATTTTCTCGGTGGGTGGACAAATTCTCAACAAAAGTCGCGCTTATCCTTACGCCGACAGAATATCCACATATCCGTGGACATCATTTCAGCCATGAGGCACTGCATTCGGGTGGAAGGTGTCACCTAACTCAGAAATGAGAATGGCTCTACCGCTGATACTGACCGCACTCAGGCAAGGCCGCCTTACTATGGGAGGCATCACGAAGGGACTCTACGGCCTACTTTCGATCATCCGGGGCAGGGGCTTGAGGTCGTGTTAGGCAAGAAAATACCGTGCTCAACCAGTCCGACTGCAAGCCTTCATTGACCGGTCATCCAGAGAAGCTCAACCCCCACCACAGTACTAAGTATTAACTCCGCTATCCGCTCCCATTGCAAATGGTAACTCGCGTTATCAATTTTGACTGTGTGATGGCGTCGAGGTTATTAAAGCACTCACAATCCAGATTGTTTATTGAGGTCGCCGTTCAACGAGGTCTCGCCATACATATCACGGTTCAACCAAACCAGGGAACTTGCTGATCCCCGATAATTCTGTGAGAAGAAACTTGTCGAGAGCCTAGAAGAATTGTACCACAGTCCGTTCGAGTTGCCCTTTGCCTGCCCGATGACTACCAGTGGGAGCTCCTAAAGCTACTTGCCATTCAGATCATTAACGTGTCATCATTGGCCTTCGAAAACGACACGCCTATCATTCAATTGCTCTATCCCACCGATATTCTCCTAGAAGACGCCGAGATTACCGCGTCATCCACCACTCCATTCCTCATCGTAGCTACATGTAAGGTATGTTCACTGCGGTTGTATTCATTCTCTCGGGTATAGGCTATGTAGTATCTGAAACGTTGAATTTCGACATTATGCAAGGCTACTGTTCTTGCTGTCTTCGTGGTCCTTCTCCTTCCGCCGCTCAAGTTCGGCCCAAAGCTTTAGCTCTTCTTTTCGTTCAGTTTCATGTTCTTCCTTACTATGTTGTGCATAACTGCGGTTTTGGGCGATGTTACGGCTATGGCGCCAGGCGTCTTGAGATGGTGAAACATAGATGTATTCCAGGAGTGTCCAGAGTATCGCCTATTAGCACACATCCATCAGTTTGACAGATCAAGTAAGGTTGGAAACTCGAAGAAGAACTTACGCTAGAGAAGAATAGCCAATACGGTGCGTGCGCCTCGTGCAAGGGCTTCCCATTCGTGCCGTCATTCCCATGGTCGAAGTACTCGTACTTGAATCCTCCCCATTCGTTGAACTGACCAGTCCATCTTCGATTCGGTTGAACATCTGAAACGGTTGGTAACTTCGATTTGCGACTGCCCCTCCTTAGCTGGGTGTAGGCAACCGTGATGCGCTGGAACCTTTCCCTGCATGCTTTTGGTGACATGCCGTCCTTTGCAGCGGTATCTGGGTGATAGAGTTTCACAAGTTCATAGTCTTTCGATGGCAGTATGATTTGTCAGCCTGAAATCGCTGCGGTCGGTCCTGTGGTGGGACGGAACCAGGCTCACAACGTGATTTGATATCGGCACTAGTCGCATTGACATCTAGGTGGAAAATCTGGCGCGGAGTCGGATTGCGATGGGTAGGAAATGGATACGGGTTCCGAGACGATGAAGCAGAGTGCGACGGGGTGCCTGTGGATAGGTATCGTATCGTTGAGATGATTTGCGCCTTAGTATGGAGGGGGGTTATGGAGCCCAAGTATATCTTTACTGGCGGGTACATGGTTGAGCGTGAAGGAGGGATTAGCGTGCGGAGATGTCAACGCGTGTATTAAACGGGGCTCAGTCGGAGCAATTGAGATCATCAGCATGTCCACCTATGGGCCTGTCCGGCTGCTCCCACCGGTTTGGCTTTGGCTCCAGGCTCCTCGACATCTTGCGGGTTCGTGGGAGATGAAGATCACTGGAAGAATCAGGTGCCCCGCTTCCGATTCTGCCCCATGCACCGTGTCAGAAAACGGTAGAGTCATTGAGTTGGGTTTCAATAAGCCAGTTGAAATACATAGCAAGAAATCGCTAGTTGTTATGGCGGGTAATCGGTTAGTAGCAGAACGGGGGTAATTGTCCGACATATCATACTAATTATATTGTTTTAATACTTCTCGAAATGCATCAGGCCGGTTAGCTCAGTTGGTTAGAGCGTGGTGCTAATAGAGGATATTCCTCAGTATACGCCAAGGTCAAGGGTTCGACCCCCTTACGGGTCAACTTTTGGCTCTCTTAACGTATATTATTGAGTGATCGAAAGATCATCGCCGAGAGAGCAATAAGCATAGCACGCGGCTTCCAGCCGGTGACAAGGCGCCAAGCTGTGTCAACGCAAATTCGTTGATTAAGTAGATCAGTCTTTATGTTCGCAAGATCTAGCGCCTTTATAAAAAACCAGGTATGAGTGAATCTCATCTAGATTATATGTTACGTTAAGCGTGATACTGTATGTACTTCCCCCATCCATTCAGGAGCTTGCCTCGACAGCTCCTTTTTTAGCAGGCGCCGCAGCATCTGGCATCTCGCCTTCGACCTGCGCGAGCCGATCATCTTCGGTTTCGCCCAGCTCTTCCTCCCTCCTACGGCGCTGTTGTTCAGCCCAGAGCTTGAGTTCCTCCCTCCGTTTCGCGCCATGCTCCTCTCGACTCTGACGTGCGTCGTTGAGCGACTGGGTAGCCTTCCGATTATGCCGTGCCGCTTCTTGAGCTGGCGAGAAGAAGATGAATTGTACGATACCGCCTACAAAAGCCTATCATTCCAACGCTTCAGACCTTGATCCAATAAGTCATAAACGGATACTGAAACATGGTGACTTACGACTGCGAAAAAGATCCAGTATGGTGCGTCTGATTCGTGGAACGTCCTCTCATACCGTGGCTTGCTTCCTGCGGTAGCACCGGCCGTCTCTTGCCCCTTCTCCCTAAAGTGGTCGTCGTACTGGTATTCAAACCCTCCCCATTCATTTCTCTTTCCGGTCCATGTTCTATTGGCCTGTGCGCCGGAGCCAGATGCTCGGTATATATCCGAGACAGATGGCAGCTTTGATCTGCCATTTTTGCGCCGTAGCTGATTATAGGCGACCGTTATGCGTTGGAACCGATCCTGGCGCACCTTTGATGATGCTCCATCCTGAGCTGCAGTGTCGGGATGGAAAAGCTTGACCAGCTCGTAATCTTTACGTGTGACCAGACGCGTGATTAGTGAGAACATATGTACATGTTGTTTCCAGGGCAATCGTCCGGATACGAGGCTCACATCGGGACTTGATATCTGCATCGCTTGCACTTGAATCCAAATGGAATATTTGGAGGGGTGTTGGGTTGCGATGGGGAGGAAACGGGAAGGGGTTCTTCGATGACGAAGCGGATGTCGTCTGCGAGACATTGGAGCGATATCGAACGGCCGGTATCGTAAGGGTCGTCCGGAGTGTGCGAGTGGCATTTAGGTACATTGTTGCTAGAGGACGCAATGCTTACACTATGCTACCGTTTGATTAAGGCAGAGTGTGAGTGATGTGTGGACGAATCGAGATCGGCAGTCGTGTAGCAATTGTTCTGATTTGTTGATAGAATGTTCATAACCCCACCTCAGCTCTCATCCAAGGTATCGCCGCGTGTCTTCTGCGTACGGTAGCTCGTCTATAAAGAATCCTTTACGCGCCGCGTTGTTACGAGGCGAATCTGTAATCACCAGGTGAATGAATGGGACAAGCCAAAGCGATGGACAGGAAGGGCTTACAAGGCGGTCTACTGCATGGTCCGATGTGCAGGTCCTCTCATCGAAAAAAGGGTTAGGATACATAATCGCTGTATCCATCTGCCAAGAAAAGAGATGAGTTTTGTCCATATGTAAGATATCTGGGTGAGGTCGGCTTTTCGGCGGTGTGAGCCCGAGAGAGACTTAACCATATCTGTAATTCGAAGTCCACAAGCCTAGGTAGGTTAAAAATAACTCTTTGTGTGCACTTCGCCATGCGCGTCGATATTTCTGGAACATCGTCATCCCCGCAGTCAACATATTAAAACCCGTGTAACGCCGTGTGATGCAACCACTCGTCCACGACAACCGCCGCACCTTTTGCTTCAAAAGTCTTTGCTTATTTCAACATCTGTACACCTACGCATTCAACCTCAAGATTCCAATTCTCTTCTCTGATTAATCTTACTATAAAGCGGTCTCTGGGCGGACTATATGAGGGCAGGATTATGGCCACTTCTTTTTTCCCTCGTCCCATTCCCGATCCCCTCCGTCGCGGCCCAGGCAGGCCAGACCCTCCTCGGAATACCGTCTCTTAATGGATTCAACCTCGTATCTACCACGAGCCCTTTGCTCTACATGTTACCCCCCTCTGCACCCTCCATCACGATTTCTTTTGCGTTGTGTTCGACCAACTTGCCTTTACCGAGGGTGTTCGTCAGCAATTCTACGATGCCGGGGCCGACGGTTGGGCCCAATGGGGCGCCTGAGACGTATGAGGTGACGTTTGAGCAAGGGGTTGGGGCTTGGACGGGGGAGGCGCCTACTGGAGCGAGCATAGGGGTGTATGTCGGGCAGGGAGCGTTGAATAGCAGCTCGTGGCAATTTGAGATTGCAGTACAAGAAGGAGAGAGTAAGTTAATCTTAATTAACGAAACTGTCTCCAGGAGTCTGATCACTTGTCACGATGATTCAGCTCCTGCACACACGATCGACACGAATCTTCCAACACTCGCCGATACATCGTCTACACGGGCAATCGTATTCAGTACAACTTTCCAAAACATCACTGTCGAGCCAACATCATACCCGAATTATACCCTACCGGCGCTTGACCCTTACGACTCTTTTTCGTTCCCAACCTACCTCCCGCCCTCCAGCCTACTACTCCTACCCACACCCGCTCAGCTCAGCGCCCTCCCATACTTCCGATCTAGCTGCGCCCTCCGAGCGATGCAATCCTCCCTCAACTACAACGCCACCCAAACCAATCTCGTCCGCAGCCCAGAAACCGGCTGGCAGACCGAATTCGTTGTCCCAGGAGGGCTCACCCCTCAAACCAACTACACCGTCTGGGTGACTCAAGGACCCAAAATCAGCGGGCCCATTTACATGCAGACGAAAAGTGAAGCGTTCGATGACACGTGTACCTTTGTGCATGCGCTGCCATATTGTCCTTTGGTGTCGTATCCGATCCCGCTCGTCAATACGACTCAGGCGACGACACCAGATGTATACAACTCCACGAATCTGCCTATAGAGATATCATCCAACATCACCGGCTTCTTGGCCAACTTCTCTATCAACCTGGGCACATTCGCGTGCGGTCGGGATGTCTACTCGCCATTACACGATTGCACGGACTGTATGGACGCCTATCGTACATGGGCGTGTTACGTCTCCTTCCCGCGTTGTGCCGAACCCGCCACCAATTCCACGTCCACGTCCATTCCTTCTCCCCCATTGCAACCGCAAGTCCCATTCGCACTGAAACCGATCGCAACTTCAGACCCCCCTCGGGCATTGGGATTCCCGAACGCCACGACGCCGTACACGGAGGTGTTACCGTGCATCGAGACCTGCAACGCTGTACATAGGAACTGTCCGCCTTTCTTGGGTTGGCAATGTCCGGATCCTGATCAAAACGCGAACGACAGTTATGCGTTGGGTGTGTTGGACTCTGATGATGGGCATCATGAAGGGGAGGGTATACTTGGTGGAAGACTGAGAGCGGGGATGGGGGATGTGATGGGTGTTGTGGATGTTTGGGGAAATGTTTGGTGTAATGGGGCATGAGGAGGAGTAAGGTTATTGGTGAGACCGGAAATATAGAGTGGCAGAAGTTGACGTTGTGGGGACGTTTAGCGGAAACCCAACCCGCCAGTGATATGTACCGATTCCAAGGATTCAAGGCCCCAGGAGGCTCTACAACAAGGAGGCGAGGCGAGATAAGAACGTAGAAATCGTGTTGAACTCTGGGAGATGGATACGATGAAGGGAAGGACATACTTGATGGGAAACTAAAGCAGGGGTGTCATGTATGTCTGGGAGCATGTCTGGGCAATGGACCGTATAGGGTGTGCTTGCTCTGTGTTATCAGCAGTATAGAATGTCAGACGTTGGTCAGCTTTATGAGGCGCTGATCAGAACAAACTCGCCAGCGATATATGTCTTAGGTCCGAGCATGTAAACCTTTCGACTAGATGGCTACACACGCACTGCAGACAGAGAAGAAAACGAAACGATGTACGAGCTCTCAAAAGAGTAACAGAACATTACAGACATTCCCCAGAATTGATCAGCGATAAACTTATCATGTAGCATCGTTGTTCACTGAGGTTGATGTAGGCCGACGCGGGAAGGGCTTCTCTAACAGGTCCGTATCCGTATTCCTTGTTCGTACAAGGGTCGCGATGGTGTCCTCCCATTCGCTGAGCCATTCGGCCTCTCGCATACCCTCCAATCGCGAGATGCCTTTCGGTGTGGCACGAAGGAATCGAAGCGATGGCACGACTGGTGCATGGTCGAAGTACGCCTCTACAGTCTCTCCGGGTACGGAATTCTTCACATGAACCCACTTGGCCATCGCGTACGCCGATCCAGCAACACACCACTCCCCTCCGCCGCCACGGCCCCATCGTTTATACGGCCAGATGATGAGCGGGTAGATCAACGAGCGACAGAGTAGGGCCTTGTAGACTCGGTGGGAGAGCGTCCGCGATAGCCAATTGTGAGGTCGGATGGAGATGACATCTGAGGAGACCTTGAAGTGGATATCTGGCTCATTCCCTTGGTGATCCCAGTTCGCCTTGCATATCCTAACGATCTGTTGGCGTAGTTCCAAGAGGTCCCAGCCGTGTATGGACTTGTGAAAGTTGAACTCTTTGAGCTTCTTTGGGCTGGAGCAGTACGCGTCGGTCCATTGTCTTAGACTCTGTGAGGGTGGCTCTAGTTCGTTGTCGTCAAAGGTATGGAAGGCTCCATGAGCGCCGTTTTGGTAACGTTGCCGCGTCTCTTCCGCATCGATCCCTGCTTCGGTTCCTAGAGCCTCTTCGGGGAGATGGACCCAAGGCGGCAAGCCGACATCGTTGAGACGCGCCTTTCTCGCATCGGTCGCAAGTTTTTCCGCCTCTGTCGCCTTCCGTCTCAATTCCTTCCCCACCCCAATCTGGTTCACATCAATATCCCTCCCATCAGCACCTTTATTAGAGCCCTCATCAACTTCCCTCGCAGACTTCCCCCT